GCGACGTTCCGGTGGCTCGAGTCATACCAAAACGAACTGATATTCCGTGATTGGAAGGCCGATATCAACGACGCTTTTACCACCGCTGGCGTGACGGTAGACGCGAACGCATCGGTCAACTTCAAGTGTGATGGTTCGAACGAAGGAGTTACAGGTGCGTGGATCCGGGGCGCATGGATGCCGTGCGATATCGTCATCTTGTTGGGCGAGAACGACGTCGTTTTGGCTCCCGTGCTTGATTTCTCGGGGCGAACGGCAGTGACTTTGGTTGTGACGCAGCCGCGACCTCTGGCACGTCCGATCCAGTGTGTGATCCAGTACACAATCCGCATCATTGAAGTCACTCGGCTCCCAACGCTTACGTTACCTGTGGTCTATGGTCCACGCAGCGCCATTGCATACGGGCAACCTGCTACCATTGCGCTGGCGAATCCGGCGGCTTCGTCGTCGCTGGATCTGGACATCCTTGTGAATGCAACGACGCTCTTGTACGAGGCCACCCAACCCCCCAGTATCGGCAACTTCGTCCCCACTCTCAATGGTTTCGGTCGCTACGACATTGGTACAGCGTCACCTACGCTGACGGTGTTTGAAGCCACACCAAGTGGTCTCCCTGTGCCACTCCAACTGGTCGTCACGAACGCATCTGTGCCAGGCTCCCAAGCGCGCGCAATGGCGATTGACACCTTCGTGTTTCAACCTGATACGTCGCCGATCGTGTATACGGCAGTCATTTGGCCGTCCATGGCCGTCGCGTGTCTTCAGGGCAAAGCGGCTACATTCAACTTGACCCATCTCGGTGCGCTCAACGCCACGCAGTGGGTATTGGTCGTACCACGCGACGTGCCGCTGCAAATCAATCGCGCGAGTGCGGTGGCGTTGGATCCTGTCAGTCTCTCGCCGACGTTGCTCGTACACGTCCAGCCACCCACGTATTTTACAGGCCGGTTGGAATTCGAAATTCGCATTTGCTCGCAGCGCGGGCAGCGCACCGTCATTGATCCGTACCTGGTCATTGTGGACGTGACGCCGCTGCCTGTGCCGCCCATGCCCCAAGTCGTCACTTGCAACACATCGGTGACGTTTGGTGACGTAGCCGTCGTTACCATGGTCAATGTGCCCCTGTCGACAACGACAGCATTTGCGATTGAGATTGAAGTGCTCAACGCGACCATGGCCTCGTCGCTCGTTGCCGCCCAAGTCGTGGCACTTGAAACCATCTCGCAGTTTCCGGCAGAGTACCATTATGCCAATATGACAAGTGCCACTGCATGGCGCTGGACGCTACCGGTGGTAGTGCTTCCGTCGGGCACTGTTGCGGATCGCCATCTTGTGTCGCTATCTGTCGCCGTGCAAATGGCTCCCGATTTTGCGGGCCATGTACCACTGGCGCTTCGGCTCGTGTCGTTCTTGGCGGCCAACGCCAGCGTGACCGCCGAGTGGGTGTATCAACAAACGGTGCAGTGGCACTACAATCAAGTCCCGCTTGTCGAAGTTGCGCCGCTATGGACCGTGACGACGCTCGAAAATGTCGATACGAGTGTGGCCTGGATCGCGATACTGACGCAACCGATGTTGACCGGCACGTACTGGACGCAAGCGTACAATCTTACGGGCATGTCACTCCAGTATGGCGTCAACCAAACGGTGCAAAACGCCTCCGTCAACACGCTCTTCGACATTTCGCAAAGCATCACCGCGGTTCGCGCATCCAAAGTGCTTGCGGTGTCTGTAAACGTCTCCATGTCTGAGGTGCTAGAGAGGCCGAACTATGTCTGGATCTCACGCTAAAATAGATCATGAGCGACGATGCTGTCCAGTTGCACGTGCTTCCGTACCGGTACGGCTCGATTGACGTGACCCTCAACTTTACGTTTTACGGCGCCGACGAGTCGATTCGCCCACGCATTCTGATGCAACCCATACAACTCGACGTACTCCAAGTGGCGCAACAACCGGTGATCGACTTTGTCCGGTCGCCCGCCGTTGTTGCCTCGGGCGACGTCGCTGACGTCACGGTTCAGATTGCGTCACCGATTCTGGACGGCTCCGATACATTGACGGCGCTTTTGTGGACCGACACCCCGATGCTGCTTGTGCAAAATGCGTCCAATGATGCTCTAGAAACGCACCAGAACGAAACGCTGCTCCGCTACGGGATCCCGTTTGGCACTAGTTTCCGCCAATCAATCCAAGCATGGTCGGCAGACTTCCGCGTCGCGGCCGTCGGCAACTTCAGTGGGCGAAGCAGTTTCTGCCTCGAAATTCGGTGCGGTGTCATGGCTACCCCGTGACGACTCATTCCTGTACGTAGCGCCATTGCAACGACCAACACAACGTCCCGGGCATCGGTGTTTCATCGTTTCGCCATCGACTTTGCACCGAGTGATACACCGATTGTGGTGCCAGCAAGCATCGTGTCGATGACCACGTTTGGTGGTGAAATCTGGACCCTCGATGCGCCTGCCCTTTTGCATCAAACGCATGCGCAACTGCCGTTGCCGTATGCAACGTCGGCAATAGCCTCCGCGCTGTATGCGTACACCCTCGTGACTGCCAATATTGATTGGCTACGATTGGACAGCGGAAATTGGACGCGACCGACGAGCCCGTACGTAGTGTACACGTCTCGGGACGCAGACGCACCGGTGCTGTCGCTTATTCCAAGCAACGCGTCGAGTGCCATTGTCCTTGACATGGAGATCCACTACGGCTTTGCCAGCGTCGTGCCGCGCATTGTAGCGCCGGTGCGGGTGGTGCTAGCGGTCGCAGGTGTGCCATCCCTCGCACCCAACCTCGTCCGCGTACAAGCGGCCAACATTACCGCCTACGATCAGCCCAACTCGATCAACTTGACGCTCGAATGCGCCAAAGCAGTGGTCCATTTTGAGCCTACGACGCTGGCGTACCTTGTGAACGGACGATCGGTTCAAGACACGGCGGTACTCAACATAGGCACCGCGATTCAGGTCGTCGCGTGGCCTCCTCTCGCCTCGAATTTCTCAGGCGTCGTGCCATTCCAAGTGTCAGCGCTCTGCGACCATGGCCCAGCGCTCAGCGTGAGGAAGGACCTACGGTGGCTAGCCAACCCAGCATCCTTTCGGCTGTCGCCGACCGCAGCCAACGCGAGCACGGATGAAAATACGTGGCTGCAACTGGCGCTGGGTTCGATTCTGAGCGTGACCAACCGCACAGTCAACGACATTCGATATCGCGTCGTGGCGTTGCGTTATGTGACGCCGCTCGATGGCAACATCCAGCGAGTCGAGTTTGACAATGCTACGCTCCTCGACAGCACGTCCATTGGGCTGCTGCCACGGGCTCAGTTTTCCGGCATTCTCTCGATTACATGGCTTATCGAGTACGAAGGCGTTGACACCCAATTTGGACAAGTTGTCGCACTTCAAAACCAGACGGCGACGCATACGATACGTGTGGTCGTACACCCAGTCGCGGTCGCACCGGCACTGGACTTGGCGACCGATGGCGTCGTCGACTTTGGCAACTACTCGCGGGCAACGCTCCACGTCACGATTGGTGGCGACACGTCACAGACGACGCAGTTGTACCTGTCGTGCACCGGCCGTATCGTCGCCTATTCAGGTGGCTTATGGATGCCATTCTTTGGTTCGGTTCGGCTGGGAACGCTCAACCTGAACACGACGCTGCAGTGGGTCTATGCTCCGAGTCAACCGACGGTCAGTGTTGTCGACTGCACGCTGCACTCGATGACGACGTCGGTCGACCTTGGTCTTGGCACGGACCCCCGTCAGATGCTGGCTACGCAAAGTATCAACTGGACTACTGCATGGCAACCTAGCGTGCATGTTCCCGTCATGCCTGTGCAGTCCTTGTCCTTTACTACCGTGGTCAACCGCTCGCTCGTACTTTCGCTGCCCGACTTGATTTCGTATGACAGCAAATCATTGATATTTCAAAGTTTATGCATGCAAATAGGGCGCTGCCAAACGCTACGTCGTGCGCGTTCCAGTGGTATACCTCGGACGTCCAGCGCATCTTGACGGACGGGGTCGTCGTCAACGCGACGCGCACGAGCCAGCTTCCGCCGAAGTTTGCCCAAGCTTCCGGAATTCCATGCGCCAATCTCTCGCAGCTGACCATTGCGTTCACTCCGAGCTATGTCGGACGCACGGCACTCCTTCTGGACATCGGCACGCTTGCCGCGCAGTACCCGGTGGCCATTACCGTCGTAGTCAAGTCAATGCCCATCGCCCCCCATGTGCGATTGTCGACCAATGCCGTCGTCGCTTCGTACGAGCAGCCCGTGACGCTGGTCGCGTATGCACCGGCGCCACCTGGCACCTTGGTGACATATCACATCGTGAGCAGTCCACCGGTCATCACAGCAATTGGTCGCAACGACTTGTGGTTCACGGCAGACAACGCTGGCATCATTTCCATGCGTCCATGGGCGGCCGTCGACGTGACGCTTCAAGTGCTAGCACCCCTCGGATATGTGGGCTCGGTGTTATTGACGTTGACCGCGCTCGTTCAAAATGGCGGGGACGTTGCATTCGATGCGCAGGAGCTCAACGTGACATGGCTGCGCGCGCTGCCACCACTGCTCGAAGTATCGTCTGTCAGTAGCATGTATGCCACCGACATGGCGTCCATTCAGCTGCAAACATCGCTCCAGCACCAAGACAGTGCCGTGGGCGCGCTCCGTGTCCTCATGACAACGTCCCAAGCGCTTCAGAATGTTACGCGTACGCTAATCGCGTCTCCGGTTGCCTACAACATCCAGCTCCCCGCCAATGAGCTTGTCGTGACGCCGCTTCGCTACTTTGGGGGACCTATCGTCTGGACCTTTCAAGCAACGAGCACTGCGTTTGGGACCTCGGCCATTTCGGTCGCATCGCTCAATGTGACCGTCGTCCCTGTCGTATCGACACCCAACGTCACGCTGGGCGTCCCAGCCATGGTACAAAACACGTCAAGTATTCTAAGCATTCAAGTCGCGCGGGTTGAGCCCCTCGGGTATACGGAAGTCTCCAAGTCGATGTTGGTATTTTCCAACTTTGGAATTGACGCTGTGAAGGACGCTGTGACGAACACGTCCGTACCGTGCGTCGTCGTCGGGCCCAATGTTACCGCATGCCCACTTGCAAGCACGTTTGGCGCCGCGCGCAACTTTTCTCTGGTGCTGACACCGTATTTGGACTATGCAGGACCCGTACGTAGCCGGCTGGTCGTCAACCTCGCACTAAATGATTGTCTTGTAGGTCAATTTTTCAGTGCTCACGATCCACTCCATCCTGGAGGCGCCACGCGACTGCATGGAGCAGGCGTGGAACAGCTCGATGCTGCAAACCTGCTGCGACAATATCGCCTCGCAGTGCACGGCCACGTCGTCGGCTGGGACTCTCATGGTGCGCGGCATTGCTGCCTACCCCAACGTATCGGTGTCCCACACCAGCCTCGTCTCGAGCGTCCAAGCAATCTCTGCCGTCAAGGTGTTTGCCCTTGACGTGCGGGATCCGTTCCGCTTGCAGCTCCTCACGGCGGCGATTGTGTGCCCGTCGAATACACTCCAACGCGTCATCGTGTCCCAGAATTACACGCGGACCAACATGACCAAAGGGGCATTGGCCAATGCAACGGCCGTGGACGTATATTCCCTGGCGTGGCTCCCGCGCATCGCTCCGTGGGGGCTTGAACTCGTGTGGGCGACCAATGTGACGACGATGCGCTTCAACTGCACGCTCGTGGCGCAGTCGAGGTCCATATTGTTTCCCAACAGCACGGTGACGACCAACACGACGTTTGTCGTCGAATTGAACTCGACACCGCCGGCTCTCACGCTGCCTCAAGCGTACATCGAGGTGCCCGAAGGTCAGCCGATCGTTTTGGCAGCGTCGCTGGCCACCGCGAACGCGACGCTCATCCTCGAAGCGCCGCTCGCGGTCATTCAACGGGTCGCTTTTCAAAACGCATCGATGCTGCTTGGTACGACGGCGCAGCTTGGGAACCGAACGTATGTGTACGGCGGCGCGTCTGGGATTCGCGGGGCGTTTGTCTTGACGACATTCCCGACGTCGGGCGACGTCCTACTGCGCCTGTTCTCGTTCCCGACCGCGACGACTGCGACAAATGTCTGGAATGCAACGTTGGCGACGCAGGTGCTTGTCCAGATCAACCCTCTCCCGATGCTACCGCTCTTGTACGCCTCGCCATCGGTGCTGTTTGTGCCGACATCGCACACGAATGTTACGACGAACGTCGCCGTGTCCATGGCGCATGTCGACGTCGAAAACGTCGTGTTCCTTCAGGTGGGCGTACCGCGGTTCCTTGTGACCGATGTACGCTGGAACGGCCAGTTGCAAGTGCCTCGAGCGGTGAATGCGACGACGCTGCTCTATCAGATCAATGAGTCGAGCGCCCTGACGTCAGGGTCCATGACGCTTTCGGTGCAGAGCTACTACGATGGTCACTTTTCGGTATCTCTCTCCATTAGACGGAAACATTTAGTACTCACTCCTTGTTGTAGGTGACACTCGACGCGTTCAGCGTCGTGCCCGCGCTAGGTCTCATGGCGAGCAATCGGTCGTACTTGTCGGTCGTCGCCTTTGCATCGACGCTGGATGCCACCAAGTTGGTGGTCGCACCGTCTGTCGAGGGCAGAGCCACCGACTTTATTGAGGTTCCTGTCACATCGAATGTCTCGGACTTGGTGCTCTTGGATTTGGAGCAGCGCTATCTTGGCAAGGTATTTGTTGCAACATGGTTGAAACATGCGCATACGTGATACGTGTAGGTGGTGGCTAATGGCCTTGTGCTGCCGCGAACAGCGTGGGGCAACTCGAGCATTCCAAGTTACACGCTGCCGCAACCCCTGACGCAGCTGTATGTCCAAAGTCGACCGGGCTTTGCAGGCTTCTTCACGGTCGCACTTGTCGGCGTGGATGCGTCACTAGCACTGGGCGTTGCACCTGTCCGCGTGCACGCGCAACCCGTGGCGTTGCCCCCACGATTGCTTCTCGTGTCGGCCGTCATCGTCAACGCGACGACGGTTTATCTCGACGTCGTCTCGGACGTACCCAGTCCATCCAACGGCGTCGATGTACTGGCGCTCTCAATGACCATGCCCGTGTCTGTGCCAGTCGCCGCCTGTAGCGTTCCGTCACAGGCTTCGGTGCCCATGCGCGTCAACGGAACGTTCCAGACGTTTGACATCCCATTCACCACGACGACTGTGCGCTTTGTACTTGCGCCAAATTACGTCGGCACGTTCAGCGTTGCAGTGTTGCTGACAGATACGAGCGGTCTCGTGTCGACGGCGTCCGTGGAAACCATGATTGACCTCGTCATTGCTCCTCGCGCCGCCCCTCCGGCGGTTGCGTGGACGTATGCACTGTCGTCGCAGTTTTCAAGCCCGTCAGTCGTCAACAACGCCCTCAACGCATCGAGTCTTCTCAACGCCACCAGTCTTTCCAATGTTTCCAGCGCGTGGAATACATCTGGAAACGGCAACATCTCGAGCACCGGGACTATCACGACGATTGCATCGGTGACACGGTCGCTTCAGAGCTCGATCACGTTCAACGGGTCCGAGACTTGGCTCGCGTTCGTGCCAACTGTCTCCGTGACGGACCTGTCCGAGCTGGAGATTGGTTCGGACGCGCCGCGTTTGCTTTCAAGCCGTGCTGTACCGAGCGACTATATTGGCAGCTACGTAGTGCTGCCACCGCCCCAAGTATGGACGAATCCGTACATGTACGGGGCTATGACGACGCTTCTCGGTGCGACGACCGCGAGTTTGCACCAAGCCACGGGCGTCTCGCTACAAACGACGTCACAATCGTCCCGCGTCGTAGCCGTCGCGGTGCGCATTACGCCCGCCGCCCAAGTGCCCACCGTGGCGCTGCAGCTGCCGTCGCCCATCGACGGCTACGGTCCGTGGGCTGTGTACGAGGCCGACCCGGTTGGTTTTGCGATCACCGCCACGACCGCGTACGCGGTGCCGACGCAAGTGCTGCAAATCCGGTTGAGCGTCAGCAACTCCCAACTGAGCAACGTGTCAATCAACGGCACAGTGCTGGCGCTGCCAAAGACTGGCCCGGTGGTGTTTCCGTCGACGTTGCCTGCCAATGTCCTACCACTGACGACCGTGTCGCTGCCAGTCGTGCGCGGCGTCTTTGGCTTGCTTCCGATGCAGCTCTCGGTTCAAAACACCGAGACACTCAACAACGACTCGCAACTTGTCATCCAAAGTTGGAACGTCACTGTGGTCCCGGTTGCGCACGTACCGATACTCGTTGTGCGACCGAGTGCGACGACGCTGCGTGAGTCGGACGTGCTGCAACTGATGGCAACGGCGACTGCCCTCTCGACAACCGAAAACATTTCGATCTCGGTCGCGTCATCACCGATGGAAGCCGCGCTAACGCTGCAATTTCGCGGCGGGACGCTATCGTTTCTTCCGTCGGGGGCGAACGTGACACTCTCGCTCGCCAAGTACTGGTTTGGCTCGCTCCAGCTCAACGTGACGGCGCTCGCACAACAGTCGATGGCGAGTCCCCGGGACAAGGCCAGCAACAGCCAGTTGCTCAACATTTCGGTGCTGCCGGTCGCGTACCCGCCACTGCTGGTCGTCAACCAATCACAGTACGGTGTCATGGGGACATGGGTCACGGTGCCTATCAACATATCGGCACTCGTCGTAAATCGGTCAAGCGGCATCGACGAGTGGACGCTCAACTTGGTCGCGCGGGCGGGCGCACTCAACGTCTGGGCCAACCAAACGCTCTTGACGCGCAACGCGTCACTGAGTAATATCACGCTGGATTTTTTCACGCTACCGGTCTCGGGCGAAGTGAGCGTCCAGCCCACGACGGCGCATGGCGGTGTCTACGTCATCGGACTCCACAGTACGGACCGTGTCGCTGTCTCCAGAACAAACGCGACAACGGTGCAACGATCGACGCTTTACATTGCTGGTATCCGCGTCTCGGCCAACGCCACGTCGATGGACCAAGGCACGTCGGTGCTCTTTACCGTCGCGGTCAACAGCCCGCCCGTCGCACCCGTGACGATTTCGCTTGCATGCAATGACACGTCACGCCTTGTCGTGCCGGTGCCACTTGTCGCGACGACAAACACGACTCTGCAATGGCTGTTGCGGAGTACGCGCGACTTTATGGACAATGGCAACAACTTTGTCAACTGCGCCATGGTCATCAACACAACCGATGTCTACTACCAGCAAGTGCCACTGCCCAACACGTCGCTTGTGCTGGTGAACAAGGACACGTCTGGGTTTGCATTGCGCGGCACGATGCTCAACAATAAGGTGCAGCTCACAGTCGCCGAGGGCGGGTTTCCCGACTCGTATACGGTTGCACTGACGTCCAAGCCGTTTGACGAGGTCGATATCTTTATGACGTCCAACGTCTCGAACCTCCGAACGACGCCACCGCTCTTGGTGTTTACACAAGACAACTGGAACGTGCCGCAAACCGTCGTTGCCAACGCGTCAAAAGTGTCCAACATCATTGGCACAGTCCCAGCGTACGTCCTTTATGTTTTGTCTACCAAGCACATACAAAGTCGGTGACTCATGGCTTCTTTGTAGATCCATTGTGCATACGGTTGTGACCAACGATACCAAGTACGCGGCGCTGCAGAATTTTACCGTCGGTGTCTCGCTGCTTGTGACGTCCGATACGACACCGCCGCCGTCGCTTCAGTCGGCCCAGTTTGGCAACACGGGGGCCGACATCCTCTTGACGTTTTCGCGGGACGTGGACCTCTCGTCGTTCCCGACGCCGGCGAGTTTTGTCTGCACGAGGCTGCTCGTCTTCACGACAGGGTTCTACGGCGACGTTCCGACGTGCGGATGGACGTCCAAGAGCTCCGTGCGCATCCTTCTGGGAAAGTCCCCGACCGTGCTGCCGGGCGATAAGAGCCAAGTCATCGCCGGGCTAAAAGCGACTGCCACGTCGACGTTGACCATGCCGACCTCGTACATTGCGATTCAAACACCTGCCAACCCGCCCGTGCCCAAAGTCAGCGTCACAGGGCCGCAAAATCTCGGGTCGTGCGACGATCTCGTACTTGATGGGCGGTCGTCGTCTGGGGGCGGCGGGCGCGCAATGGCGTGGGTCTGGACCATCGCCAACGCGCCCGACATTGCGACAACCCTCTTGGCGCTCGGGACGACGGCCCAAACCGTGTCGCTACCAGCGAGTACGTTCATCGCTGGCGGGACGTATACGTTTTCGCTGACAATCACCAACTTTTTTGGTGCGTCCGGAACGTCCGGGTCCATCGTCGTGACAAAAGCGAGCACGCCGCTGCCTGTCGTGTCGATTGACGGTCCGAGCACAGTCTCGTTGACTAAGTCGTCGACTCTAGCGCTCAACAGCGTCGCCACCCCCGCAACATGCGGCAATACGGACGTTTCGAGCATTGCGCTGAGCTTTCAATGGTCCATGATCCAGTCGTCCGGTGTCGTAACAGTTGTCAGCTCGACGAGTCGCAACCCGCGGCAGCTGCGGTTACCGCTACGGACAATCGCGTACGGAACGTATACCGTCCAGGTGCTCGTGGGAGTTTTCGGTCAGCCAGCGCAAATCAACTCGGCGTCTGTGACGCTGCAAGTCGTCCCGTCGGCTTTGGTCGCTGTCATCTCAAATGGATTTCGCACTGTCGGCAACCAAGAAGACCTCGTGCTCAGCGGCACCTCGTCCAACGACCCCGACGCTTCGACGACGGCGCTCCTGTATGCGTGGCAGTGCGTCGACGCTACGACGGGCGCCGTAAGCTGCGGCAACGTCGCCATCACCAACGGGTCGACGACGGCGGTCGCCAAAGCCAATCTGCCGCCAACGACCACGATTCGCATTCTCCTGACGGTCTACGATCCAGCAACGCAACGCAGCGCACAAGCATCGACGACATACACGGTGCTGTTGGGAAGTCCGCCGAAGACGACGGTGGCACCGCTGTCGCAGCTCAAGTACAACCCCGACACCAAGATCGTCCTGAATGGTGCCGTCACAAGTGCAATCGACACCAGCCCCACGGCTCTTTGGTCGGTCCAGGGCGACACGACGTTCGCCACGGCTGCATTTGGGTTTGCGCGGGTAACCTCCATATCGGAGGATGCCGCTTACTTTATTATGTGGAATGCGTAGACGTCATTGACGATGCTACTGCTACCCAATACGCTCACGGCGGGCAAGACATATGTTTTTGTCCTCACAGGCACCGACAAGTTTGGTCAATCGAGCAATGCGACCATCAGCGTTCAAATCAACGAGCCACCGACGAGCGGCCTCGTACGTAGTTTCGTTTCGAGGTTTGTGTATTTAGAAGTGGGCGTAGCTCTTGTCGTCGCCGACGTCAGGCACGACGCTCGCCACGTCCTTTGCCTTGTCGAGTCTCAACTGGGTCGATGTGGATTTGCCGTTGACGTATGCTTTCAAGTACATTGTCGGCCCCGCTTCCGTACGTCCAATTACAGTGCAAACCGAATGCAACATTGGATGTAGGCGGGTGCGACCGAGATTGCGCTCGGCGACTACGCGCTCAGCACATCGTTCACCACCGTCTTTCCGCTCGGCGGCGGCGCCAACTCGACGATCACGATCGTTGCTTATGTGGCCGATGCATATGGGTATGCAACCAAAGTGTACAGCGAGATCGTCGTCGCGGCACCGACGGGGTCGGCCGCGGCGCAACAGACGGCGCTGTCAGACCAAAGCTCGCTGCTCGCGTCGTCGGCCGCGAGCACCGACCCCGGTCAAGTCGTTAACCTCGTTGGCATGCTTGCATCCATGCTCAAGCCCACGACGACGTCATCCACTGGCTCGGGCAGCAGCGGAAGCACGACCACCCCGGCGCCAACGGCATCAGTGGCCCCTGGTGCGACGCCGGCGCCGACTGTGTTGGTGTTGAAATCGTGCCCGTCGTCGTCGACATCGGCCGTGTGCTCTGGCCACGGTACATGTGTCCTCAACCCTCCGAGATGTCCAGTGACGAACATCGACTGCACGGCCACATGCACCTGCGATACGTCGTGGTACGAGCGCGTAATGTTGTCCGTAGGTATGTAGTTGGCTCGTCTAGGTACAACACGGACTGTGCAACGTCCCAAGCCGACTATGACCAGAAGCAAGCTATGCTTGGGAACCTGTTGACCGCCATGACATCTGCTGCATCGACCATTGAGCCCACCGCCAAGGCCGTCGAGCAGCAGACGTCGGCGGTGCAGTCCATCACGGCCAACTCGGGGCTTTTGAGCCCAACGCAGCAGACTCAGGCCCTCGACTTGGTTGCGAGTGTTCTCTCGGCGTCGTCGCAGGTGCAGCTATCTACCGCTGCGACAACCGCCGTCGGTAGCTCCATCTCCAATCTTCTCGACGCCTCGAGCACGACAACGTCGAGTCGCCGACGTCTCACGGGCGCGACCAACAGCTCTGCGGACGCGGCAGCCAAGGCGATCAAGGTTCAATCCACAGTCGGTCTCCTGGCCTCTGCCATGCTCAACGGCATCGTACCGGGCGAAGAAGCTGTGCAGATGAACTCGAAGAACGTCAAGATGGTGCTACAGCGGCACGACCCCGCCAACTTGAGTACGCTTCCACCCTATAATCATGTCCTTGTTGCTGAACATGGAGTGTATAGATGGTGCGCTGGAGCTCCCCCTCTCCGCAAGTCAAGTCCAGGCCAACTACTCCAAGCAAACGTTCACGCTGCCGACCAACTTGCCCGCGTCGTCGGCGTGCGCGCAGGCCGTCGACACGCACGCCACGTTCCTCGCGCAAAATGTCTACCAATATGCGAATGCGAGCTCCAACATCAACTCGGGCATCATTGGTCTCAAGCTGCTCTGCGACTACTCGAGCACGCCGCTTGCGGTCGCCAACCTCACGAGCGGCATTTCGATTCGCATGCGCAAGCTGGCGCAGTATCCTGTCCGTCCATCAAATGTGGCTGTTTCGTGCGCTCATACGCCTTAGGTCCCGGGTGCGCCGACAAGCGGGAATGTGTCGTGTGCAGCGGGGCCACCGGTTCACTTCAACATTACGTGCAGCGTTGAGCAGCAGCTGTACAAGCTCGTAGCGTGCAACGGGTCGGCCAACTACACGGTGCAGTACACGTGTCCGCAGTACATTCCGACACCCAAGTGCCAATATTGGGACTCGGCGGTGCGTCGACGCTTCGTGTTCCGAAGACGATACGATGAATGTCACTGTAGGCGGGCGCGTGGTCGACTGCCGGCTGCAAACAGCTCCCCGATCCGGACGACAATTACATGCTGTGCGTCTGCGATCACTTGACGGACTTTAGTACGCAAGTCGACATGGCGCTTCAAGCGGTCGAGGACAACTTCTTCTCGGTGATCGAGCACCAAACGACCGTTGAAGACGTCGTGCAGAACATTGGTGTCGTCATCACGATGGGGGTCATGATAATCCTCTATGGTGTGAGTCTCCTCTTTTGCCTGAAGTGGGACCGAGACGACCGCGCCAAGTACAACCCGTCGCGTCGCATCCACATTTTCTCATGTTGCATGTAGACGGCTAAAGTACGCGCTCACCAAGAGCAACGAGCCCAAGCACATCGACTTGCGCAGCCTCTTTGAGCTGCCAAAAGTCGTCGCGGCCAAGACGCGACGCGAGAAAGCCCGGGCGCTCCTCTCTGGGTTTTGGGATGGCTTGAAAGCCAACCACCGTATTCTCTCGACCATCATGCAATACGACGAAACGTTTACGCGGTACGAGCCTTTTGAGATAGTCCAACGTTCAAACGGTGGTTTGTAGACCGCAACGCGCCATGATCATCTTTACCGTCACGATGAGTCAGATGTTTATCAACGCACTCTTGTACAAGTTGCGACAAATGGACCCGAACATTGGCACGGTCATCGTCAGCGGCCTCGTCTCATCCGTGTGCATGATGCCCGTGACCCTCGCGGTACGCTCTTTTGTCACGATATGCTTGTCGTCATTATAAGAGGTTGTCTAGTTTGTCATTCTCTTTCGCAAAGCCGGCAAAATGCACGACTACACGGTGCGGTACGAGATCGAAGATGACGACCACATCGTCGAGGTCGAAGTCGACGCGTACGGCAAGCCCGTGCAATACTCAAAGTACGACATGCTTTGCATGGACCTCCAAGGTACGAAAGGGCAATGTCGCACTGTATAGCACACTCCACATTACTCCTAGGGCTTCTCAATGCCGTGCCGCATGGCGCATACGCGCGGATGCTCGCGCGTCTCGAGCGCGATCCGAACCTCACGTCGCTTGCCAGCATCGTGTCGCAGTCGCTCTACTTGATTTTGAACAACCGAGAAGTGCGCGAACCCGAGCCGCTCGACGACATCACCGTCGAACTCGTGCCGAAAAACACGTCACGGTCCCACTTTTCGTTCTTTTCCAAGCCCAAGGTGGTCTTGCCGGCGACCGGATCGCCGGCCAACGTACCCGTCGAGGACGACCCGAGCCTTCTGAGTGTCGAAAGTGCAGTCGACAAGCTCTTGGCGCTGTGGTCGCCCCATGCCGACGTGTACGGTCGTCTCAACAAGTTTGAACCGACCGCGATTGTGTCGTCGACGCGCTCCAAGCTCGGGTACCTTCTGCAGCAAGCGATCGAGCTGCAAAAGAAAGAGACGTCGCGCGCGTCGACCGCCGAAGTCGACGAGCTCGCGAGCGTCGCCTCGATCCTCGCGTGGTGCCGCAAGTGCTACGAGTGCGCCGAGTGCTTTGCCGACGACACGAACGCCGTCCTTCGCCACGCCAAGCACGAAATGCAGCGCACGCGTGAACAGCTCGTCATGACGCGGCGCATGGTACAAAAGCAGCTCCGCGACCGGTTGCAGCACTTTCGATCCAACATGTATGCGGCGCCGCGCGATGCCTCGGGGTCGCTCCGCCATGGATCCCTCAAAGACCATAAAAAGGTGGTGCTGCAGTCGGTCCACAACCAAGTCCAGGTACCTTCTTGAGAGGGTCTCGTCGACCCTAACCGCTCTGTGCCGCTAGGTCGTGATTCAAAAGACAAGACACCATATGACCGAGACGCAGCGGCGGCTTCAAGACGCGCGCCGCAAGTCGCGCGTCGACCACAAGCTCAAGACCAAAGAGGCCAAGAAACAAATGACAGAAATCCTCGGCAGCCTCCACGGTCTTGCGCGCTGGAAAAAGCGGTTTGAACTCTACCAAGAAGCAAAGGAGAAGAAGCTCGTGGACGCGATGCCGCTCCACGAACGCCAGCGCTACCTCAACGAAAGCGAGAAGCTCAAGAAGCTCCGGTTTGGCGCGCGCCTCATGTACAACCTCTTCTTGCGCAAAGCGCCGCAGCGTCTCGAGAAGCCGATCTTCCCCGAGTTTGTCAACTACATCTTGTACGCCATGTGCACGGGCATCGATGCGTTCACAGCCTACTTTATTCTCCAGTTTTCGTTCACGGTCGGGCACGTTGTCGCTAGCATGTGGATAGGTACGGCGCTTCTCTCTAAAATGCGGTTGCGACATCTTTGATTAGGCTCGCTCTTTACGGGTCTCGCCATGACGTACCTCGTCTCGGACCCACTCCACATCTTCTTGCGCGTCGGTGTCTTGCCGCTCGTCGCATCCATCTTCCTTGTCAATACCGGGCTCTTTGAGGCCCTCGGGACAGAGATCGTTGCCGTGGGTGCGGCCGCCGCCGTCGGTATCGCTGGCGTCGCCAAGTTCCGCGAAAAGAAGGCGGCGCGCCTCCTTCCCGTCGGGGTTGTCGAAGGCCCCTCGGCGCAACTCGCGAGCGCCGACGCGCCGCCCGTATTGGCACCGGCGCCAAGTGCGCGGCTCGTGCTGGAGGTGCCACCCGTCGCATCGGAGCCAGTGGTGGCGTCCATCGTGTCGGAACCGGTACCGGCACCCGTGGTACCGGAACCGGTGGTGACGCCGGCGGGGGTGTCGGTGGTATCGGACACGATCACGGTGCCTGCCGCGTCGAGACCGGCCACGACCATTGTCGAATCGGTACCGCAACCTTCACCGATCGTCGACGACACGACGGCGCCCATGGCGTCTTTCAAGTCTTTGCCCAAGGTCATCAACGTTTCTCCGCGACCGGCACCAAGCAGTGCAACAGCAAGCGCCACCAAGCCGCTCTTGGCTGGACCGTCGATGGCTGCTCTGCCAGCACTGGCAGCGACCGTCCAGGACACAACGTCCGACGCCGCGTCGTCGATTCGCGCCGCCGATCCAGTAGTTGTTGCCGCCGCATTGACCGCCGAGCTGGCCACGCCCGTGCCTCTGGTTGAATCGTTCGTCTGCGAATGCGGTGCCAGCATGCTCCCCGACGAGCATGTGCATCATCGCGAGCACGACTGCTCGCACCGTCTCGTGCAATGCCGCGCTGGCTGCGGCGTTTACATCCAACTCCGGGCGCGCAGCAGCCACGAGATGAGCCAGTGCCGCCTTCTCTTGTGTGCATGCGGCAAGATGGTGCTGCGTACCAAGATGACAACACACCTCGAGACCGAGTGCGCCCTGCGGAGCGTCACATGCCGTCTCGGCTGCGGCGCGTCAATGCCGCTCAACGCGCGCGAAAAGCACGAGCGTTCGGAGTGCGACCTGCGCGTCACGTCGTGTCCCGACTGCAACACGGTGTTGCCGGTGCGCGAGCTGGCGACGCACCGAGCGACGTGCAAGACCAAGGCAGTGGTGCGCGGGCCCGCGACCAAGCTCTTGGTCACGCAGAGCAGCATGCTTACGTTGGGCGAAGACGCTTTGGCCGAACCCAGCGCCCAGCGGCCGGTCTCCCCGCCGTCGCCGACAACATCGCGGCTTCAGGGCCCACCGCTTGCAATTCCAACGACCAAGGCGCCGCGCGGCCCGTTGGTGCCACCGACCACGTCGCCTGTCGCCCGCCGCGCGCGGGCACCGCCTGTGGCTACAGCCACCCCGGGTGTGTTGCAAGGCCCACCGCTCGTGCTCGCACCCGGTGCGATTGTCGACGAGGCCAAGACCAAGGACGATCTGGCTCGAAAAGGCGTCGCAATGACCGCGGCGGCCGAAGGCGCCAAGCGACTGACCAACGAGTCGGACGCCAAGCCCCGGCGGGCCGATGTCGCCGAGGCGCTCGTGGAAAAGACCGGTGCCGGGCAGATGGCCAAGTCGGCCTTTGAAGGCGCGGCGACGACGCTCTTTGAGGGCACGGTGCCCGCCCGCACGCAGCCGTTGCGCGGTCCACGCACTGCCAACCCGTTCCAGCCGCCGTCCGACGCCAAGCCGTCGACCTAGCACCTAACCCTATACACTACACAATGCATCCATCGAAACCGCCAAGATGTCCGTCCAATGCCATACATATAAACCATTTAGTATATGCATATTGTATGCAAGATCACCCTGTATTATTGGGTCCTTAGAGCGACGCCGTGGCTTGGTTGGCTGCGCGCTGCTGGGCTTGCTTGAGCTCTTGGGACTTCTTTCCCGCGACAACGCTGAGGCCGCCAAACACAAGCGTCATGATGCCGAGGAAGATGCCGACGCCTGTAAAGATGTACTTGGGCGCATTCGGGTCGGATGCGAGCTTGCTGCACTTGTTTTGGTCAATGACCGAGCACGAGAGGCCCGACCAGCACCCGAGGCACTGGCACGACGACGTCTTCCCGTCCGCCGACGCGACGCACTGGCCGTACTTGCCGCACGTGTTGGAGGTCGGTGTACACGTGCCGCCGCCGCTCACAACCTCGAGCACCTTGCCGCACAAATCTTCCTCGGACGTGCCGAGCTTGGACGAGATCGTGACTTCGCATGTCTGGCCGTCCTTGGTGCACACGGCACCCTGGCGCGTGTTGGTCGTCCACTTGTCGGTCGGCTTGAGCAAGATCGACGGGTTCGTGCACGAGCCGAGCCAGCCCGCCTTGGCCGCAAGGGGCGTCACAGGCGCGGGCAGCTTGGGCGGTTCCCACGAGCAAATCGTGTCGGCGGTGAAGCCGCCCGTCTGCACGTCCGAGGGATTGGCCTTGTACATCGCAGCGAGGTTTGTAAAGTCGACGGTCACGGTTGTACCTGGCTTGCTCACAATCTCCGTGCCACCCCCTACGTCACCATGAATACTCGGAAATGGCGATACCATGTGCAGATGTACCCAAAAAGAGGGGGTACCCCGTCGTGCCCAACGACGCCGACCCAAAGGTGTACGCGTACCCGCCGGAAAAGACATCGGTGAAGCCTTGCGACGCCGTCGAACTCGAAAAGAGGTACGGGACGTTGGTCCACTTGCGCGGCTTCTGCGTGTCGCAGCCGGTTTCACCAAATGCCATGACGATCGGGATGCCGGTCGCCATCTTGAGGAAGGTTTCGTAGGTCGCAAACTTGCCGTCGTTGCACCAGCGGTACTCGTTCACGAGGTACATGTCGATATTGCTCTGCATAACACCATTGACCATCGTGTCGCCGCAGAGCAAGCCCATGAGCTTGACGACAGTATACTGATCGGGCTGGAGCGCAAGGGCCGTGGCCGTTATGCCCACAGAGGCCTTGTCCGGCGCGGAATCGGCGCCGGCGTACGCAAGCGGCAGAATACGCAGCTGCTTGACGTTGACACGCATCCAGTTCTTGAGGTCGGCCACATACTGCTTGACGCACGCAGCGGCCGTGAGGTCGTACTGGAGGATTTCGTTGGCGACGATCACACCGAGCGTGTTGTCGTACTTGGCAAAGTCCTTGATGATCTACACAGCAAAACGCAATGTTCGATCGACCGCGGATAACGTCGCAGAGTGACGCACCGCCTTGCCAAAGTACAAGAGCAGCGCCGGGTAGCACGTCTTGGTCTGGTCCTTCTGCGACTCGCCGGCGACGACTGCGCCGTCGGGGCCCCACCCTTTGGTAATCGTCGAGTAGCGGTACGCGCCAAAGTAATCGACATTGGCCGGCGACGCCGAGATCATGACGTAGACGCCAATGGCCTCCATGTGCTCCATGAACTGGTCGTACGTCTTGTCCGGGTTGACGTTGTAGAGGCGAAACGTGTTGAACGAGCCCATGATGGGCGCGAGCGCCGTCTCGATCGCGACCTTGCTCCACGTCGCGTAGTGGTCGTCGCTCACGTCGTAGTCGTACGTGATGCCACGCAGGAAGAAGCGCTTGCCCGTCTTCGAGTCGTACATCTTGTTGCCGCGCACGATGATCGGGTTGAGCTTGGCCGCGTCGGCGACGACGGCCGCCAGCAGCAGGAGGCTCCACCAGCGCATCGCAACTTCACAATTGATAAACTGCTCCAACTGGTCGCATTACTTCGGTCGAAGTTCGAAGCTTCGAACGACTTGCCCGAACAGAATATATATTCTCAAAACACGCGCGCTTTCTCCAAGGTGGCTCAATAGCGCACGACACCGAGCGCCGATAATTCGCGCACGGACGCACCTCCTCGTGCATACGTTGTCGTCCGCGGTACTATGAGAGTACTATGCAGCACCTTGTCGTATCTCCTTGGTTGACAAACTCATTATTTTAGGTGTCCCCATTTGACGCCGAGATCCAGCACGTACGAATATCATCCGGATTTTTCAGCGCCGTGGCAAGCTTCTTGCATGGACAGTCCGCGTCCTAGTACCCTAGTATTCTAATAGCATCGATGCGATCCCGTCATGCGACAGTGGCGTTGGCCGTCGTGTGCCTACAGGTCGAATCATCCATCATGGTGGTGCTCACTTCGAGCGCACTGTCGTAGCGTCGACGATGTATTTCTGTATATTTGTTTGACGTTCAAGAGAAAGGATGACATAGTTCACTTTGTACATATAACAATATTGTCATTCACCTTCGTTTGCCACCGAAACATTTGCATCTGGAAGGTAGCGTCGGAGCCAAGCCGTCCCGGGGGGCGATCAACGCGTGCATGTGCAAGTCAAGGCAGTCATCAGAATCACACACCGCGTTTTGTCCCCAAATCCCAAAGGGTGGACTCGCCTTCCTTCATGTGTTCGGTGATGATACATCAGTGTAACCTCGTGGAACCAAAAACAAAAAGAAAAATGTGACAGAAGGGTTAGGTAATGTGGCAGAAGGGTTAGGTAAAGGTAACGACGCCAATGTTGCGGTCGCTCGAAATGCTCAAGAGCACGTTTTGCGTCGCGTGCCAGTTGGCGTGGAGCACGGGCTTGCGGTGAATGCTCAGCGTTTGGTGCGGCACGTTCTCGCGCTTGCTCGCGCGAATGTCCCAAATGTGGACATCGCCCGACGTGCTGCCACACGACACGTGCATCCCTACGAATTGACCATAGTATCCATCATCGACATGGCATTCAGAGTGTCCTACCGGCCGTGGACCAGCGCGGCGTCGTGTACTGGCTCATGGCGCGCGCGTCGCCCGTCGACTTGTACCACACCATGGACGGCATGCTTGTGAGCGAGCTCGACGTCTTGATGCGGAGGTCATGCAGCAGCATGTTCTGCTGCGTCGCATGCACGCACGACACCATGAGCAAATGCGGGTGGTTGGGGTGCGCGAGCACGGCGTTGATCTTGGCAATGTTATTGGTCTGCCGCTTCTCAATCACAGTCGTCGTCGACTGGTGGTGCAGATCGTACCCAATCACAAGACTAGACGACGCATCGCACTCTACGATCTGAGATGGTGGAGCTCGTACCCGTCGAGCGCGCCGGAATACACCGACGGCGAGTGCGGGTGCACGCAAAGCGACCGGATCTCGCTTCGGTGGTCGGCGTGGAGCGTCTTCATGTTGGCGGATGACGCCGGCGCATCCGTGTACTTCCACACGACCACGCTGTGGTTGGGGCCGCCCGTCACAATGTGTGTTTCGTCAACCCAATCAATGCACGAGACACCCCTAACATAGCGTCCGTCAGTCGTCCGGCAGATTGTCGGCATCATACTTGGACGCGAGCGACGACGACCGGTTCCAGACGCGGTCGGGTGGCTTGGTGAAGCCTTGGTTCCACTCGACGACGCAGATCTCGCCCGCGTCCGCATGCGGCTTTTGAAACCCGAGCGCAATCTTGTTGCCATTGCCCGGCGACCATCGAAAGTCCTCCTAGTGGCAGCCATGAGAGAGGCACGGCGGACGAGCATGCGCGTACGACGCATGCGTGGCCAGCGCGCCGAAAGATGGACGGTGGCACTTGGAGAAGGTGCTTGAGATCCCGGAAATGCGGCTGGTACTGCCAGAGCATCATCGTGCCGTCGTCCGCAAACGTCGAGAAGAGGTCGGGGTTGGTCGGATGGAACGCCGAGCAGCGCAACTTGCGCGAGCAGCCGTCCGCAATCATGTTCATGCGCGGCTGCGAGAGAAGCTTGGCGACCTCGGTTGTCGACCAAAACTGGTCAGGAAAATTGGCAACTGTCGGTGTCCGCGGGCGCATCTCGGGCAGGATCGGCGCCGGTGTCGACTCAAAGGTCGACGGTGGCGGCGACATCTTGCGCTTCTTCTCGCGGGGCGGCGGTGACTCGGCGATCGTAATCACACGCACCGCCGGTGATTGCGGCTTGACGATCCGAAGCTTCTTGTCCAGTGGCGCGTCCACGTCAATGACGGGCGTCGCGCGGTTCTCTGCGTACAAGAGGAACCGCTGTAGGCGCTTCTCGAGGCTATCGCGCTGGAGCTCGAGGTCTTCGCGCGCATACTGCTTCTTGGCCAGCAAGTCGTGCTGGATGCGCAGCGATTCTTGGAGCTTGGCAATGTCTACCTCGAGCGCCGCAATGTCCTTCTTGCACGTCGCGAGGTCGGCGCCGTTCTCGGCGAGCCGCGTCTCGAGCTGCTGCCGGCTGGGCAGCGCCGGCGCTGCGAATGGCCGCTTGGTCGCCATCTTGGTTCTATCCGCCTTGTACTATCCACGCCGTGATTGGTTGGCACGGATCATATCCGGATACCGAGCGCTTGGCGCCGAAATTGCACTCGCGCCATATACAAAGTCCAAGGCGGGAGACTGCGCCGGATACGCTGCAATATGGATCTTCTGACGTCGTCGGGTCCATGGGCAGCGACGCTCAATGTGGAGCGACGAGTACGACCCTCGGGCAGTAGAGTACCGATACAACAAGCAGTTGGCGGTAGAATACAGTTAGATAAAGCAGTTAATGCGAGGTCGCTACGAGGTCTTGTCGGACTTGAGGCTCGCGGGCGGTGCATCGCAGAGTGGCGGCGCGGCCGCGGCAGGTCGCGACGGCGCCGCGCCAGCGTATGCCTTGAAGTGCCGCCAGAGGAGGCGGAAGCCACGGGCTATCCGCAGTGTCCGGAGCTTGAGATCGATGTAGCCGTACGGGAGCTCGTCAATACAGAGGTCGTAGCGGCTCTTCCAGACGCGCTCCTGGAGGAAGCGCGAGACGCGTCGAAAGGCATCGAGGTGACGCTTCGCGAGCGACTGCATTTGGAACCGGACAACTTCTTCGTCCCACTCGAAGCATGCACCGCAGACACACGTCATCGAGTTGCACCCGTCGCCCTTGACGAGGAAGACGCCGCACTCGGGGCACTGCGCGACCTCGTCCATGTCGGGCGCCATCGCTGCGCACTCTTGGTCTTCATGGTGGCCCGCGACCTTGCAGCGAAAGCACACGGCCGCGTCGCAACACGCAGTAAACGTAAACGGGTCCTGGTGGAGAATGTAGAGCACGAGGGTCACGCGGCGCTCGGTATCGTGAATGAGCGGCACGACCGACTCGAGCACCAAGTCGCAGTAGTCGTCAAACGCCTGCACGATGAAGTTGACGAGGTCGGCGGCCGTCAAATTGTGCTGGCAAAAGGCTGCGCATTTCTGGCGCAGCGTCGGGATGTGTTGGGTGTAGTCCTTGGTCATGGCGATCGTGTAGACGCGCTCTTGCGGGTCGGGCAGCACCGTCGACACCTCGTGGCACTCGGGGCACAAAATCTCGCAAGCGGCTTCCACATGGTACGAAAAATGGTCCAAGATCGACTCCATGTACACAAACGGTGCCCGGCGCTTCCATCGCACGAGGTTGACGGGCCGCACGCAGATGGGGCACGTCAGCTTGGACGGCACGCCACGGATCTGTGCATGGAGGCGCGAGTTCATGTAGCCCTCGAGGCAGCCATGGCACACGACCGCGGGACACGTCTTGCTGCAGATCTTTCGGACCATCTCGTCGCTGCGGAAGCAGTCAAAGCACACTTGGCACTGCAGGCGCGCCTTGGTCGCGAGGATGCTATCGTCTTCCGGGCTTGCTGGCGTCGCGCCATGCTGCGGCTCGCACATGGGCTGCTCCACGTCGTGCATCGTCATCACTGCCTGTCTTGCCTGGAAGGTTGCGCGTTTTGCAATGAAGAAGATCTTGCAGAATTTGGATTCCTGGCATTTTAATTCTGGTTTTCGATATTCGAGCGCATACAAAAGTGTAGGTATTTTTTCGTCGCACCCACCATGTTCGAAAATCCATGCCTTCGAGTGGATTGGCTGAAATGTCGGATTCGTCATTTCGTTTTGCACCAATCCTAATGCGTTCTGAAGCAGCCAATCCGCGTGCAGGCAGCGACCAGGTGTTGCGTGACGTCGTTTCCAACCTTGTTGTCAACAGGTTTAAAACATGTTGTCCACCTAGTTTCCTGAGGAGTCGTATCCTTCGTTTTAAACAGGTCGGTCGTGCCGTTGCATACAAAAACTGGCGCCGGCGAGACAGGCCAGTTTGCTGTTGCGAGAATGACGACACCTGAGGTCTTGAAGCCGGCCTGCGTCGTGCTCACGCCGGGCATCAAAGCCACCAAGCACGTGCGTCCTGCGACGCGAGCTTTCGGCGCATACTGATGCCTAGCCTAGGTTGTCTTTGGTAGTCAAAAGCTCGGCCCCGTGCCGACGGCCGTCCTCGACGCGCTCACGACGACGCGCGCCAAGCTTCTCTGCGAATGCAAGGACTTTGCCAAGCCGGCGCAGTACCAATGGGAGAAAGAGAAGGCGCAGTTCCAGCTCGATGCGTACATGGAGAACGCGAGTCAATACTTGTCCCTTCTGCAAGGCTTTCTCAACGTAGATTTCGTATTCTTATCTTGCCACAGAGGCTAACGGTCAACAACGTAGGCAGCGAGGGCCCCCGCACTGGCGCCTACTGACGACAACGACGAAGCGGCCGCGAGCAAGCCTGTCGTAGCCGAAAAGCCGGCGCCGGCCGTCTCGTTCGCCTTTTGCGAGTGGCTCGACGTGACGGCCAAATCGTCCGTACACGCGCTGAATGCGTACCACGAGTACGCGCATGCCTTGTACGCTGTCGGCACTGTCTTGCTCCAGCGCGCGTCCGACCTCGTAGCTATCGCAGAGTCAGAGCGTTGTCGAGCTTACGACGGTGCTGATTCCTAGACCACAGCGATGCTGTCGTCGCGAGATTTTGAGTTTGACGAGCCAAAGCTCAAGGAAGCGTACCAGATTCTTCTGCGCACTGCAGGGCTCTTTGACGCTGCGCTTGGCTTCCTCGGCCAGAACAGGCAAACGACGGCAGCGACCGGGGCGGACGACGCCGCCATGGCCGCATGGCGCGCCGAGCAAGCACAGGCCGACACCGCCGCTACCTTTGCCCCGGTATCCGCACCACAACAATGCCGCTGGATTCCTCAATCAACGATAGGAACTGAGTCGCATCAAAGATTTTGAAGGCGGCGCGGGCTTGACGGCGCTTCGGGCGATCGCACTCGCCCAAGCCCAAGAGCTCGTCGTGCTCCGAGGCGTGACGCGGGAGACGGTCGACTGGGTCCTCATGGGGAAGCTCTGCGTCGACATTGCGTCGCGCTACAAAGGTACACTGTACTGCGGCGAAATCACCCGTCAACAAAAATGCAAAGACACGCTCGCAAGCCTTCCAGCGAGCCAAGTCAAGCTCCGCGGCTGGTGCGACTTCAAGACCATTTACTACACAGCGCTCGGATTGTACTACCAGGTGCGTCGACGGACAGAAGCCAACAACTTGCTCAAGAATTGGACGCTAGGGCGTGGCCGAGTGGAACAAGAAGGACGCGCCGGGCTGTGTCCAAGCCATCGCGCAGTTCCAACAGGCCAAGGAGCAGCTCGCGCGCCTCACAACGTTGGCAGCCGAGACGCAGCGAACGCGCGACATTATCCAGCGCGACCTCGACATTGCCGCCGCGCGCAACAGCTCCGTCTACTTTGAAACGGTAGCATCCCCTGCCCCATGTAGACATCTCACGCCGAAGCAGATCCCCCCGCCGCTCCCCGCGCTCCCCCCTACAGGCCTCGTGCAACCCCAAGCCTTTGCGAACCGTACCATACATGATTGCACACAACACCAACGCATCATATTTCATCTTGTAGCGCCCGCCCATGCGCTGTGGAAGGAGCCGCTGCCATCGGCCCAAGCCACGTCGGCGGCCACCCCGGCGCGGGGGTCGCCCGATCTGCCGCATCCCGACGCGGGCTGTGCGTGTGCCATCATGTAACCACTTTTGTCCCATGTATCAATGGAGCAACTGGATCGATTCTTCTTCTTAATGCAGTGCGACGACCGTCTTTGCAGGTGGCGCCTTGGGCTTGTTGCGGATGATGGGCACGAGGAGAAGCTCGACGACCATGCCGATCGCGTAAATGATGGACGTGATAAAGAAGCAGTAGCGGTACCCGTGGCGCTCAATCAAGTAGCCGCCAACGACCGCGCTGCCAGAGTACGTAAACTGCGTGAGGCCTTCCAGTGCGTTCCACCGACCGCGAAGGCTCTGCGGCACATAGTCCATGAGGATCGACGTGCGCAGCGGCTCCGAGCAGCGCATAAAGCCGCTCCTACAACAAGGTTAAGCATCGCCCATTTCATCTAATCCTGGGTACCGGAGAAGGAAGAGACCGATTTCGCCCCAGAGTGGCTTCATGTACGTCATGAAAAGCAGACACAGTGTCGCAAAGATGCGCGTGGCGACCACCGTCTCAATGCCACCGGCTCGCCTACAACCACAATCTTGAGCTCCTTCAAATACAAGTCGACAACGTACGCAGCGACGCGCTCTGTGACGAACGCGAGGCACACGACGAGGAGTGGCTGGACCACAAAGAGGAGGTTGACCTCAGACGGCGTCAAGCCATATTCGTTTTGAAAAAACACAGGGAAAAAGTTGACCGTCATGCCCGCGCCGTTGCAAATGATGAAGTCGGACAAGAAGAGCAAGTACGGCACGTGGCGCGGGCCAAAGCACAGAAACGAGTTGCCGTCGCCAATCACGTCGCCGTGTTCGTTGCGCTCAACGCCGACCGCGGCGTCGGCAAGGTCGGGCACCACGAGGCTCGAGCGCTCCGACACGTTGGGTTTCGACTCTTCCTTGTCGTTCGAGAAGCTGTATTCGAGCACGCCGTCTTCGTCGACAAACGAAATGGCCCGCGTCTTGATCGGCGCCATCGTGTAATTCTCATACGCCAAGTCGTCGTTGAAAAAAAAGAGCAACAGCAGCGGGGGTACGCCAATGACCGTGCCCACGAGCAGCACAAACTGGAGGCCTTCCAGTGACCACGTGTCACCGTAAATCTGGAAAAAGATGATGCAAATCGCCGGGCCCGCCACCATGGCCGTGTTCATGAGCGTGTACTTGATCGTGATCGGGTACGCGCGCTCGCCGTTCGGGATCGAGTCGGCGAAGAGCGCCTCGAGCGCCGGGCGCTGGAGTGCGCAAAAGAGGCCCCAAAAGCCAAATGTGATGTAAATCAAATTCAAGTGGCCCTAGAATGCAATGAGCCCATGTCAAAAGAGACACATACGTACAATGCCAAAGGCCACCATGCTCATGGCAATGCACACAAGGCCGAGCACCGCCGAGACCTTGAGCACCGTGTCGCGGCGAAAGTGGTCGCAGGCGTAGCCACCGGGAATGGCCGCGACCATCTGCACGACGCCTTGGATGCCCTTGACCATACCGACGGGTTCGTTTGAGCCCGTAAGGACGTACACATAGCCCGAGAGCACTTGTTGAAAGATGATGCTACCACCATAGCAATAAGACTCAGGCAGGCTTAGCGCATGCTGGCAAACCTGCGGCAGGACCAAAAGGTGATGGTGAAGAGGAACGCGAGCTTGACGTTGTGCTCGGCCGTCGCGAGGTACTTGCGCGCCCGTGAAAAGAGCATCGCGCCGATCGAGTCAATTGCAATCTGCCGTGCATCGGCCAACTTACAGGCGCTCGACCTTTTTTAATATTGCATACAAACATCCAGTGCTTTTATTTTGTGGTCCCAACGGTTTCGGCCTGAGAAAGGTGGCGCGACGCTGTTTTATGTATTTTTTATTCGCACTTGATGTTTGTAGGAAACATCGTTTCTATCGAATTGTATGACGTCACCCACACCCAAACCCGAGGATGCTCCAGTTGGCCGCGCCTGCAAAGAACGGCGACGAACCGGTACACCGATGGCCAAGGAACCGAGCCACGAGGACTGCGAGGGACGTACATTCGAGCAGGGAGCGGCAATGCGGCCGCGGTGGATCCGGCGACCCTTCGATGGAAGCTCGGCGAAAGAAGGAACGGCGGTGAACGGGCTGGAACACCTCGTGGCGCGATCTCGTACGCGGTCGCCAGGCCCTTCACTCGCCGTGCACGTTCCGCCGTTGTTGCGGTGACGAATAATCGTTTGCCGACCTTCAAGCATCCCACCCAATCGACGCGCCAACCTCGGAACAACGTGGGACCCTTCACGAGCGCGCTTCCACGTCAGCAGCTCCCTGGAGCACTTGTGAATAGAGGCAACGATCGCGTGGCGTGCAGGGCAAGAGCATGGGGCAAGAGTGGTATAATAAACGAAGCAACATTGTGAGGATGCGTTGTGTGTACTACAACAACTGCCAGGCAGCACGAGCTGGCAGCACGGCATTCGAGGAAGCATGGTATCAGATGCGCCAAGTTGAAGTTGCAGGTTTCGGTTCTAAAGTGCAAACAACAAACATCTCGTTCGGGCGCTGTCGTTGTACGTGCCCAAGTTGCGAAATCGAGCTCGATTGAGCGCGCCTACCTCCTTTAAAGTCGGGAAAAGTCAACTGGGCGCTCGGATCCTTTGCATCCGCAATTTCGCAATCCTTCGAGTAGATGCCTGCTGAATCTCATCGTGCATGCTTGAGGTGCAGGCCAAAGCTTCTCCGGCCGTCGAAACGACAGCACTCGTTCTAGCCTCTAGAACGGGAGCAAGCAACCAAAGGTACTTTTGGAGCAACTCGCACAGCGTCGTAGCCGTTTGACGGCACCCAACAACTCCCATCCTGTATTAACTTTATAATACTGCTGCGCGTCCCCGACCCTTCTACTAGTATTCCGTCTACAGAATGTAAATGTAGTCGACGCGACGCAGTCCTGTCAACTCGTCTGACGACGCCACTACGCCTTGGCATTGCATATGTGAGCGTCATTCGTGTGCGTCAAACACATTCATTCGCGCATGCACCCTTTCTCGACAGGCAACGAACCATAGGGTTTGTTGGCACGAGGTGATTTCCCCAATTGCTCGTCAGCCACCAAGCCATGACGTTCGAAGTCGCCTCGTCCAAGGTGCGCTAAGATTGCACTTGCAGCGCATACCAAGGTCCGTGACTAGAGTGCGTGCCAGCTCCTCGTGGATGCGTTTCGCAATGGCAGCATCCCGCTCGACCTCGACCTCGACAGCGTGCTTGACGACGTACGTAGTACCTCCACCAGCACAACCCTGTCTGGAGAGAGCGTGTCGTTTCACAATAGTTTGGCGGCAGCACACCTCTGCATGTCGCGGTCATGGCGAGCAACGTGGCGGTCCTCGAGGAAATCCTATCGCGGGTTCTCGACATCAACGTACGCAATCGGGTACAAAAAACGTCCTTTCCAATTCTTCACCTCACTTGTCGATTTGTTATGTAGGTGGGCAAAACTGCGTTGGCTGTTGCGGTGGCCCACGACGATCGAGACAGCGTTGACTGCCTCCTCGCGCACGGAGCCCTTCTCAACACGCGCGACCACGTACTTGGCCAACGATTCTCGTCTACTGTGGTGCAGATCTCGAAGCGTAGAACAAGATGAGCCCTCTTCACGATGCTATTCGCTCGCACAAGACTGAAATGGCGCTGCGGCTCATTGCGGCCGGCGCCGACGTCGACGAAGTTGCCACGGTACGACCCTCTTTCTTCCAGCAAGAGCGTAGCCTAGGATCCATTCAGGGCAATCACACGCTGCTCCACGTTGCGAGCGCGAGCACCTCTGATGAACTGGCGACAACGATCATCCCTGCCCTCCTCGATGCGGGGGCCAACATCCAAGATGCTATAAAGGTATACACTGTATTGTCACATTGTTTGTGACCCTCACAGTTGGCAATGTATATAGCCTGGGTTTTGCCAAGTCGGCTCAACTCGCATCAAGGTGGACCGCATGCGGCTCTTCTTGGCCCATGGCGCGCGCTTTGCCGACATGCCTCCGATCGTACGTCTCAGTCTCTTTGTGTGACTAGAGTGGTACTCACTGACTGTCTTGCGGTTAGCACAACCAAACAATGGTTGCCAACCCTGCATACGTGCAGCTCTATCTCGAGCAAGGCGGGAATCCCAACAAGCAAGACTCGGTACAGCAAATCCGTCCGCACAACCATCATGTATGCGCCTCGTGTAGCCTAGCGTAGAGCCGCTTTTGACTACTGCGCTCCGAAAGTGCTCGCTCGAGGCCGTCGAGCTTTTGGCGCCGGTGGCCGATGTCAATTTTACCGAGCAGCCCCCAGCGTACGTCTACCGCCACGCAACGTTGCTGCACACGTGCGACCCATGGGTCCAAGTGGCTCCGTTGGGCCAAGCGATCTGGCACAACCTCGATACTTCACTGCTAAAGCAGCTGTTGGACCATGCTAGCGCGCAGCCTCCCTCGGTCGTTTCGAGGCTCGAGAAACACCTCTGGCTCATGCAACCGTTGCTACGACTGTAGTACTATGCCAATGCGCTCAAGATGGCCCTCCACTGCAAGAGTGCGTCGAACGTGGCTATGCTGGCGTCCAAGGTCGACCTCACGTCCGAGGTATGTACATATTCGTGGCGTTCCGTGTTTTCCGTGTTGTACTCTAGTGCTTTCTTCTCGACGCGGTCCAGAACCCCGACTATGTCACCTTGCTGTTGACGTTGGGTGCAGATGCAAACCGGCGCGACCAGGTACCAAGTCCCTCGCGATGGCGACTGTAATCAATCTATGTCTGATGTATTAGCACGGTCGCCCGCCACTGCTCGGGGCTTGTCAGCCACTTTTCGAGGCCTCGGCGCGCATCTTGCTGCCGCACACCACCAACAGTATCGTTCGTGATGGCGTACGGTGCTTTTGCGCTGCTTCTACAGTAGTTAACTTTGGTGCTAGTTTCCCCCACTCTTCGAGTCGGTCGCTACGTACGGTTTGCGCGGTCTCGCCAGAGATTTAGCGCGCACCGTCTTGCCGCCTGCACCAACTACCACCATGAGCCAGTTCTATTGGCAGCCGTGCCTCGAGCGCGATGGGCGATTGATGCCGGCCTCCGACTGGGGGTGGCTCCCACAAGGCGTTAACGCAAGTGCCTACTCCAAGCTCGAGCTCGAGTACATGGCTGCTCTCTGCACACTCCTCGACAAGCCGTTCTGGTGGACCAAGGAAACACTGCCGAGTCTTCCGCCTGGTGTCTCGATTTGCGATACCGACATCATCCATGGCGAGCTCCAAGTCATTCGCGATGAGTTTGTGCGGCCACTCGGTCTCGTGCCCAACACGACCCGCGGTGTGTACCACGCCGACGACGCACTCTCGGTCGACTTGCTCTCGTCGCTCAGTCAACTCTTGACACCGCTCGAAGTCGACGCTTCCTGGGACGACAACGTCTTGGAGGTCGTCGACCCAGCCATGCACGGCGCGGTGTACGGCCAATCGCGCTTCAATCTCCACCCGCACAACATGCGTGTCGGGACATCCACAAGCGCCACCGTTCAACATGAGATGCCTCCGTCGACGACGCTTACCGATGCCGCGTGCCCGCACCTGCAAATGCTGCCGACGCCGGTGACGTGGGATGCGTCGTTGCGTCAAGTGACACTGGAGAGCTATATCAACAACATCCACCCGTCGCAGTCGGCGCTCTATGCGGTGCTGGCCGAGACCCTATCGACAGTGCTGCCGCTGCTAGATGCCGCCCGGTGGGTCCCACGAAAAGACAGTCGGCGTATTCGACTCGGTGGCGGCCACGAGAACGAGCTGCGCCTGCTCCGGGACGCGTACCTGAAGCACCACGGCCTCGACCCGTCGACGACTGTGCTGCAAAAGACGCTGCGGGCGTTCAAGAAGACGCAGGGGCCCATCACGAGCCAGTTGCAGCCAGCGCCACCGACGCTCGACGCCGTCAAACGGTTCTGGAAGGACTATGTGCCGCGTTTCGATGATGACGACGGTAGCTGGCGGCTTCCGAGCAAGCCTCAGTCGCACCAAGTGCTCTGCCACGTGCAGTGTCTCCGCGCGACGCCCGAGGCACCGGCGATGACGACAGTGTGGCGTCGTGGGTCGGGCGCTACCAACGAGGCCGTCCAGTTTACAGCCGTGGCTCTGTACGGTGCAGACAATGTCTCGTTGCGGATCGAGTTCCGAGAGACGTATGAGAAGGCCGACTTTGGACCGCACAAGCGCAACCCTGCGATCGAGGTACGACGACGCAAGATGCTTGCCATGTGGATTGGCGTCGATACAACTGTAGGTACTACTCAGCGACAGCATCGCAGAGCGCGTGAGCCAAGACACGGGGTTTGTGACCTTGCGACCGGGACGCTTGCTGCTCATTCGGAGCTCGGCCGCATATCGCATCCACCTCCAGTCCGGCAACTCATCGCGTGAAGGCGTCGCCAAGCTCCTCTCCTGGAGCTTTGTGCGCCCGAGTACGAC